AAAAAAAAAAAAAAAAAAAAAAAAAAAAAAAAAAAAAAAAAAAAAAAAAAAAAAAAAAAAAAAAAAAAAACGAAAAAGACTTCTTTTTTTTTTTCTTTTTTTTTTTTTGGAGAAATAGCATAGTTTCATTATATAAGCAAAAGGAGGTCGGGAATCCCTCGACATCTCAACCCGGACAGAGGAACCAAGCCTCAGAGAGGCTAACTGGAAACCGGGTCCAGTGTCCTATGCTCCTATCAACAGTCTTGCTATTTCTGAAGAAAAGGAAAAAAATAGGAAATTGAAATCTACCAAACGACAAGAAGGGACGAGCTATCTCTCTATCCATGATCCTACAGACATTCATGTCCGGGACCATTACCCGGCTTCACTTCGTGCGAGTCTATCTGCGACTCACCAAAATCTCCTGAAAAACTTCCACTGGAAGATCTAACAACGAATACCAAAATACTCAACCAGTCTACACTCCGGCCCTTAACTAGGGGCCAATTTCCATCTGCAAGTCTGCAATAACTATTTATTGCCAATAGATTTTCAAAAAAAAAAAACGAAATGCGACCCTTCGGACCAACCAATCTCCAAAAACATTCATACAGCAGTTCATTGACTAAACCGACACTGATCCTCTCACAGCTGCAGGGACGACCCTGTTACCCTCACTGTTCCATCACCCTGTAAGGAGCCGACCCTGTTACCCTCACTGTTCCATCACCCTGTAAGGAGCCTGATCTGCCATGACGGGTTTCCCACCACGCACCCTTGGACCTTCGTTTTTTGCGGACACAATGGGTACAGTTCAAATTTGCTCCTCACTGGTTCTCTCATAGCACTTAACCAATAGCGTTCCCACCGCCTCTTGATACCCTCCCAGGCTCCCACTGCTCAAAATGGCGCCGCTATTAGTAATTCCGTGGGTCTCACCCTGAACTGTAGTAAGGATTGCCTTGTTCTCACACTCATGAGCCGCTGTGGTGAGCTACCCTTTCACCCACACTGTCCCAACACCCTGTAAGGAGCCTGAGCTGCCATGACGGTTTCCCCACCACGCACCCTTGGACCTTCATGATAAAGCTATCGCACTGGGTACAACTCAAGTTTGCCCTTCACCGGTTCTCTCGTGCCACCTAACCAGTAACGTTCCCACCGCCCCTTGTTACACTCTCACTGGACAAGGTGGGGCCGCTACAGTAATTAGCAATTCCACGCGTATCACCAGATTTCCTTCATTTCCAGTCATAAACCACTGTACTTTCTTTCCAAATGAAATACTCAAATGAGCCTCTACTGGCAGAGCTATTGCTTATAGAATAAGGCTGCAGCAGATAGCTTTCGAGTTTTTTGGCGGCCAAATTTCAGAGCCATTCCAACTACAACAAGGTCGGAACACCAAGAATACAGAGCAAACAGGCCACACCCTAATGTCAAGAGTAGTTATGGACGAGTATTCTCACGGGTGAAAAAGTTGACGAATCTACCCTAAAGATGTGGCAAGTGCATACTGGTTTTCATATAATATCTACGTTGTGGAATCCGGACTATTCAACCGATAACAATTTGGATTAGTTACCCCAGCTACTAGTCGAGTACAGAGTGTTGAATGCAAAGAGAAACGGATGAATGCAACCAGGATCAGGACCAGAGACATGGGGAATAGCATGACTGACTTGGGAGAGGGGGGGGGGGGGGGGAGAGAAGTAAAATTCTGGGCGTTATGGAGTAAGGGCACAAACGAAGAAGCCAGAAGTACTACTCGAAGCTAAAATATGACTCGTTGGATATAACCTAAAAAATAAAAAAAATAAAACTATCAGATACTAACTACGTAGTAAATGAAAAGATATATCTGAATGTCAGGTATCATGTTTCTCTGTTCGCAAAGATCTCGTCCAGCAAAGAGCATGATACTAGTGTAACTTGATGAATCTGACCTATCCCTCTGGCCAGACGCACTTAATGCACTAATCTACTTCTACAGCCAGGTACATGACACAGATCAGGTCCGAAAAAAAAAATCCTTACTCAGCTATGATATACTATATGCAGGAAGTAGCCAAAGACTTTTGGCCTGTTCTGGGGACGCATTTTATCCCGAACATCTCGTTCCGATCATTATGCATTATGCCCTCTGCACGTCCAGGTTCATTTCTGACACACAAGGACACTGGGGGAAGCAATGCTATAATTGGTGTTTGATGGCATCAAAGTTCCACGGGCAAAAAAAAAAAAAAAAAAAAAAAAAAAAAAAAAAAAAAAAAAACCTGAAAAATGTTTCACGGGCCGCGGGCCCCACGAACAGATGGAGTACCTCCCACCAACAACACTTTTTCTTTTTCTCTCTTATATATAAACCCAAATGGGGGCCACGCGTACGCATGCGCCCGCTAACGGAAATAATGTCGTAGTGACACCGCCGTAGGTGTGAGTTTTAGGCCAGGCAAATCCCAGAGTGCAATCGAAACCCTGCAACCTACCGTCTTCACCCGAATAGAACGCCCGGTCATTATAACTGCATCTGGACGGAAAGTTGGGCCAAATGCAGCTATAATGACCGGGCGTTCTATTCGGGTGAAGACGGTAGACCGTCCGCCTGCATTCCTGATCACGGATGTGCCCGTGCCCCACTTGCTCCGTTGAGCTACCTTCGTCCCCCGAATACAACGTACGGTCATTAACGCTGTATTTAGACTGAAAGATACCCCAAATACATACAGCTATAATGACCTTATTACGTTGTAGTCGGGGAGAAGAAGGTACCTGGTCGTCTAGATTTAGACAACGTGTGACTGTAGGCCACCTAGGAGATGCTGGCCGTCCAAGTGTATCTTTCTTTCTTTTCTTTTTTTGGCACCGAACAAAGCGGATGTCGTAGCGGTCCCGTTTTTTTTTTTTTTTGACACACACACACA